TCTCTTATAAATTCCCATTGGAACTATCAGCTCAAGAAAGAGCAGAATATTGCCCCAGTCCCTAGTTTCAAAACAATCCAAATGGAGCCATGATACATAGTATCACATGCTGTGGACAGATCAAGCAAGTCTACAAGAGTTAGGGGTTCCCATCCAAGTTCTGTCCATCATCCATTAATATAACCAGCATCGTTTCTATCTCATGCCTCAATCTATATCCTGAATAAAAAGGATGTAGATGGCCATCCAGAGCCTCTTCAGTTATTTAGGTTTCTGTTGTTGTTAATTATATGATTTATAAGCCACCTGACTCCCCCCAAATCTGAGCATCTTACAGTAGCATAATCCAAAGAGTTTCTCTAAAACTTTACTTTAAAAACTATTTGAAAATTGTTTAGGATAGTGGGATTTATCATTTTCTGAACAGCTGTATACCTCCTTCAAGACTGACAGTATCAACCCTCTTTTTCAAATTTGCATTTGTCATTTTCTCTATCCATGTCCCTGGAGCATGCCTTTTTAATTGATCCATCCCTTTATAAAGGTTGTTAGAGGCTATGAAATTTAGAGTGATCAGACTATGATAAAGGACTAATGTTAAAATGCCCCAGCATCAGTTAAATCTTCTAATTATTCTAAAGCAAAGACAAGATGTTATCTGTGTGTTTTTTATGAATCATACCTGTGCTGCAAATAGGAGAAACCCGCAGTGGCTATAAATTCCTGCATGACACCAGATCCCATCCCAAAGTAGGGAGGTCAAAATACCCCAGAACCAAAGCCTGTGGGAATCTACAACCAACCTGATGATGATGATGATGATGATGATGATCACCACCACCCCTGTTTTTCTAAGATTATATCCCAATTATACCCCATTCAATATTGAACTGATTTTCAGCAGTTTGCAGTCCTATCATACATAAACAAAAGCATCAAAATAAATGCTTAACTATAAGCAATGTAGGTAATATATTGTATATGCTGAGGAATAATAACTATGTATAAACATACATTCTTAAATAAAAGAAATCACTGTGTTATAATCTCCCTCAAGGCTTGTTAAAGTAGCCAGGTTTTAATCCCAATAATATCAGGGCAAGTTGAACTTTTAGGGTTGAGGAACTTGGGAAGGGAGTTTGCCAAGGAGGAAAGAGATACCAACAATACCCATTTTCATGCATGTATAAGATCTCATATCTGGTAATTTGCTGAGCCGAAGATCCCATTACAAGATACCACTACTCCTCACCTGCCTTAGTGTTGAGAGTGATGATCTATCTGAAATCCTGCCATGAAGATATTAGGGAGAGGAACCTTTCCATCCTCATCCAAATTTTAATGGTACATGCCAGACCTGCTGTTTCCATAACCAGTTAATGGAGAGAAAGAAAGTGGGACTCTAAGTGGGAAATAAAATACTTTGTAAAATATTACAAACCTAAAATTTAGAACTAAGGAAACCTGTAATACTATATTACCATAAATAAATTTAGAGGTAGAGATGGAAGGTGGGACTAAGTGGCTGTTTTAACTTCACAGTGGATTTGGAATTGCTCTGTAAGTGATATCAGTGGTCTCTTAATTTGATAAATAAATAAACAGACTTGATTTTAGTCCTTTGAAATGGATGATTCTTCCCTCTGTTAGTGGAAGTCTCATGTGTTAATAGATCTGGTTGGAATCTGCTGCCTAGTTTCACTGTTGGAACTTGTCTTAATACATCCTTAGGAGGCCCTACATCTGGCTGTTGTTTCTGTCTCTGTACCTGCTGTTTTCTTAATGATGAGTCTAGGCTACTTAGCATTAGAGGGCTACTCCCGTGTCCTGAAAGCTCTGATAAATTTCAAGGACCTTGTATGTTCTTCAAATCCCCATGTTTAGGCTTTATTTCACACTTCATTTAGATCTACACTGATTTGATGCCATCTGATGGTATTCTTCTTGCAAAAGCTATACATGATCTTCTTGTAACCTCCCCAACACATCTGTGTGATAGAAGCTTGCTACCTGTTTAAGACTGCCTAATCTTCTGCCCTTCTATATATGTAATGGGGATGCATATTCTGTTTTGAAAACACTGGAAGCTTTGTAGAGCTGGCCCAGGTCAGCTACCACCTCTGAAGAAGTTGTGTCAACTTCTGTTACTTGGGGATTCATCAAAACATACAATTTGACCAGGGAAGTTTAAATATGAAGGTTTCTGCCTTGTATTTTCAGCTATGCTATCAACATTTCTTTATAGAACCCACACTATCATTGATTGCCTCAACAGCCACCATTTCTTCAGTGGCAGGAATTCATTTTAATTGTGTTGATTCCGGTATGACAATCCTAAGAAACTATGTAGGAAATTAGCACCCACCCCATTCCTAGAAAAATGAATTATTTTAGAAATATTAAAAAGGCAGAATATTGGGGAGTGGCTGAATCGCGACGACACGACCTGCAATCTCAAAGTCCCTAGATCGCAGTCGATACTTTTGCCGCTGAATGGTCCATATAGACCTAAACTGTCCCGCAGAGATGGTGATCGGGAAGAATACGTCTTGCTGATCGCAGGAACCCCGCAAAGTCCCTGATTGATCCAAGATAAGTTCTTCTAGCCGGGGACAAAAGTGCAGCCACAAGCTGATGAAGTTGGGACAGCTCCGGAATGGAAGGAAATGGAAAGAGAAAGTGTGTACAGCTGGTGAGGAAATTTTACTGTTTTAAAAGAGACTGCCCCCACAAAAAAAACCTTAAAGCTAAATTAAATTTGAGAACAGAAAACATAAGCGGCGAAATTAAGCTGCATTGGATTGCATTGGACAGTGTGTTATCTTTCTTTTTAAATGCTATTTTATGGATGGAATTTGCGCAAAGCTTTTTAAAGTGAACAG